CTACATACACAGTACCCACGAAGAGTGAGGGTCATTCAGTCTCTGGAGCTTCACCCGTAATGTCAGGGAGGACCCACATTTTCTGCTTTGCTGCTCTATGGCAGCAGTATGGATTTGTACCAAAAGCACAGCAGAATTTCCATTGCCATACCCTCATTTCCAGCTATTCCCACTTTTTTTTTTTTTTTTGTAATCAGGAATATATTTTCTAGCAATGCCCCGGAGCTCAGAAAAAGCAAACTCTGGGCACGGTGTGGGGAATAGCTGGACAGCCTGGCCGAGAGCACAGTGTTTGCTCGCCTGCATGCAGACTCAAACAGCAAGGTCTGCTCCTAGCCCACGACCCCGCCACTCACTCCTCATATTTGTAGTGCCATTCGTTAGTCACGGCATCGTGCCGGAAGAGCAGCGGTTTCCACTCTGTGCCGTTCTCCTTCCTCTCACGTGCGGAGTTTCTCTGCTCCTCTTCCAGCACAAATTTTTCCTGCGTTGCCTTGTGTTGATCACCTTTGTTTATTGCACTAGTTACATCCTGCCAAAGCCTAGAAATAAATACAGAAACAAGTAAAACTGTTGTAAAAAGGCTAAGTATTTTGCCACCTGCAACCAGCTGTTGCTGGTTTTCTGATCTCTAGGGGAACTGTATCAGGATTAGTCAGCCTCAGTTTTCACTAGTAAATTAAAGATGTATTTTGAGAATGGTAAAGATGAATGCTGTGTGTAGGGATCTAACAAAGAAAAGGTGAACTTTCCATTAGCTATCATCACCTACCTTATTCACAAAAATCTCCAGTGTTGTCTGTGTGAGTTTTGCACAGCTTACTGAGGCCAGTGGCCTGTTGAGAGGCGATGGATGTATAATGCAGTGTCTGCTATCTTCCTGGTCCTTTCAATCGTGTATGTTTAGATGCTTTTGTGCTAATCTCTATGCCTCTCTATGTGCAGCCTTTACATTGATAGCTGAGAAGCTCCAGTAGGGAATTTGTGTGCAACGCTTGCAGCTGCATTTTTATTTCCACACACAATTAGTAACCAGAGGAAGCCAGTTCAGTCTGCAATAGCTGGATCTGCATTTGTGCTCATGAACTGCAAGCATGTACAGAAGTTTTCACTTGTACTTGTTTTCTGGTGCAAGAAGGTAACCAATTTGTCATATGATGTCTCACTGAGGCTCTTTTATGAGGGAAAATCATTATCTCATTTTCACTATAGCCATATAGAGCAAAATGTGTCAGTCTTCTCTGTAGCTCCTCTAATCAGAGTAATTTAATCTTCAAATCAGACTGGATATACTTTTGAGATTAGCAGCTAGCCATTCCAAAACATTACTGCATTACTGGCTAACCTACT